TTACTAGGCAATAAGACTGTGGGACTAAGTGAGAAAACCCCACTATAATTTTCTTGCAGAGCTAAAAGAAACCAAATTCCTTGGTGAGATATTCAAGCTGACCACTCGTTTTTCAAGTTTCACAACTATAAACCATGCACTTTCATGCACCGGTTTTGCTGTCTTTTGGCCGCCCATTGGGATAAAAGAACCCAATGAAGATTGGAATATTTAGAGCACATTCAAGTAGAAGATAGAGAATCCATATAGACTGCGGTTGCAAGAATAATGAGTAGATGCACGGGCGCCACTGTTTACTAGACTCAACCATATCACTATAACCACCGATTACCACGATCTCGGGATCCCCACCCCACACATGACTGCAGTATTCAAGTGCAGGACGAATCTGAGCTTTGGAAAGCCAACGGAAGGGAATGGGGGTGCGGAAGAGGAAAACAATTTTGCGCTCAGCGCGAATGTCGAATTTATAAACAGCGAAATAACCTGACTAGCTGCCTGGTGGTAAACAGTTTTGCTGTCATCGGGCTCAACACTAGTTCAATCCTATTGGGTTTTTTTACAGTTTACAGCTCTAAGCCCCTGGGCTTAGTTCGCAAACTCCAACAACCAAAGCCTCAGTACGGTCGGGGGCAGGTGCCTTGGGTTAGAACTGGTAACCCTTCGCTTGCCCCTTGTGAAAAGCCAAGAGGAATGACCAAGCGTCTTAAATGCCTCTAGCTGAGTAAGCTCTACTCAACATCATGATATTGTCTAGCCTAGGTAAGAAACGTCCTCAAAAATTTCCAGATCGGAGAACACATCAAAACCAACATTAACCGATTTTATTGTTGTAAAGACCTATGTACCGCGCTGTTAGAAACAGTCTGGATTGATGATATCAATCCAACAGCCGACCAGTGGAAGCGATAGAAATCCGTCTACGTAATCCCGACTGTGCTCACAAAAACAATCCATCAGAGCTCTCGGTATTTCATAGCCAATTACACACAGGAAACAATCACCTTCCCATCCGCCCCTAATGACCCCAACTGATGCGCATGTGGTAACCAAAAGTGTGAGCAACACCCGATCATGTACCCGGAATGTCAACTTTTTCTCATCCTGCGATAATTTGCCTTACTAAACATTTCGATATAAGTTGTGATATGTTAGCTTATACATAGACTACCGCAAATGAACTTGCGCGCTACTGCGTGTTTGAGCACGATATACAGTAAGGGTACACTCCAACCAACAGTAAACCACTGTGCGTGCGGAATGCATCCCTTCCACTGTTCATTCAATGAAGGCGTACAATAGTGTGCTTGGTCCTGTGTGAGCATTTCTAACTAAACCAAAACAATTAAACAGCTATGCAGTGCAACCCAGCTTTTCAGGTTATACCTCAATTGTTCTGACACAGGGTTCACTATCCTAACTATTGAACAGCAAAATGCAGTGAAGTGGAATTCGCCGATCGTTTTCAACCGCACACAATTATCTTTGTTCACGCTAAACTCTATGATAGTTTTGTGTCATTTTGAATCATTAAGTAACCGATTTAAAACAACGCAATAATGCAGTAAAATGTATTACTTACGAATATGCCTTGACCGGGCAGGTATTCATTAACCAACGCATGGTTTGCTTTATTCTCACCGAAAATTCCAAGTGAGGATACACGATCCATAAATGGTTGAAGCCACTGTGTAATACATACTCTTCAGTATTCAAACACAAACACGTACATTGGGTATTTTTTCCGTGAGCATACCTTTTGGATGAGGTATTCCACCCCAATTTTGAAGTCTACGCGCTTTAAGAACTACCCATTTTGGGATCGGCGCATTGTAAATATGTTTCCACAGAAAATCCTCTTCTTCTGGAGTAATGAATTCAGGGATGTAATAAAACGTCCGCGGGAGAGCATTCAATTTGTGTCCTTCCAACATCTGTTATTAGAGAACAAAGAGAACCGACATTTTATCGCGTGCTAATTTGACAGTACTGCAACATGAGCGAGTTTCTTTCTAATTTTTAGAACACAACAAAGGTGTTCGTAGGAGTGACAATTTAATTGTAGAGATAAACTCTTCAATGAAAACCGTGAGGGCCTAAGTCTAATCAGCACTAGTCAGTACAGAAAGTAGACAAATACTGGGGCATTACCATTTCGTTTACTCATTTCATTCGCTCAAAAGTTATTTCAAATTTGTGTACATTTTATTATAACAGCAGTAAGTGAACAAAATGGGAAGAGTGAGTACAACAAAAATAATTAAGATCAAGTAGGTGGTGATCGGAGGGTCTGTCTCAACAACCCGATTCAGGTAATTCGATTACGTGATGTGATTAGCATTGCGTCTCTCGAAGTTAGCAGCTTCCGACTACAATT